AAAAGTTGATGGAAGGTGACTTATTTGAGCTCTGCAAGGACAGCCCCTCCCTAGCTGCTTTGTCATCCTGCATAATCTGAAAATGGATGATCTGCTGAAGTACCCTGGCTGGGTTTAGTCCCTCCATTGCGTGGCTGAAAGGGACCTCTTCACCCAAACTTGAAAGGCATAAGTTAATTCCATTTCACTGTATATCCTTTGAGGTTTACTCACATTCGCGTAATTGAGAGACAGGCAGGCAGGCCTGGTTATATGGTTTTAGTGTATTTCTTAGGAACCGATGTTCAAGCCCACATTCTCCCTTCCTGTGACTGGAGAACATAGAAGGGGGCTGCTGAAGGTTGGACTTCGATGTATTTTGCATTACGCAGATCCTGGTGGCAAGCCAAATTCATTTTATCCCCAAGGAACCGAAAAATCTGTATCTTTCTAGAAAAAGTTCTGGAGAGAATGGAAAATATTGGTGAGAACATTGGAGAATGGTTTTCCAGAATCCTTTAATGAGGGGGTCTTTGGATTCTGGTCTGTTTGTCCCCAGATTCCCCCCCCCCCCGTTGACAGTAAAACAAAAGCAAATTCACCTTCATGCTCAATAGACCTGTCATCTTCTAGATGCTGTTTCTCCTCTCACTTCTGCACGTTGACCCCTGCTCTTGACTCACACCCTTGTTCTTTTCACGCGGACCCTGAGATCGCTCTTAGCTGGGAGATAACAGGCTAAGGAGATGAAGGAAGTGTGTTCCCCCCACTCGCTTCTGATATTTGCATTATTGGAATTGCACTTCCAGCTCAGCCTTGGTCGTTTCTGTGACCGTCTGCCCTGGGAAAGTCTGAGCGTTTTCAGAAAATAACAAGGAACAAATGAAATGTACATCGGTCTCATGTAGGGACTGAAAGATAGGGAGTGCCTTTGCCCACCCCACTGAAAACACAGCTCCCTGGAAGAGTTTTGCCCAAAAGAGTGTGGGAGATGTAATCAAAGGAGCTAGCAGGACTGAACAGGAATTCCAGAATCATATGTTCCTGCCTTGGCAGGTAATTTGCTATAAATTGTTAATGTAAATTCAGGTTAGTACAGAGGATTTTTTTTTCTTTTCCACCCCTCCCCCCCAAAAAAGATAAACTGCTGATTAATTCAGTATAGAACTCAATTACAAATTGAAAGACCCACTGCGGGGCTCCAGAACCCTAAAGACAGCAGATGTTGAATTGATACTCCAGCATATTTTACACCGGTATGAAATATTAACATGGTTTATTATACTAGTATTGGAGAATACGAGAAAGGAGAGGCTGAGGTTGCTCGCATTTACATCTTTTGAAAATGGCAGAGTTTCCGCCAACGGTGAGCGAGGGCTTTAGAAGATGGGTATTTGAGGGAGAATGCCAGGAGCACTTCCCTCTTTCCTTTCCCTTAGAGGTTTTAAGATGAAACACGTGGAAGTTCATTCTTCCACAGTGCTTGAAGGAAAGGATGCCGGGCCTAGAATCTCGGATTGTTTTGCACGTGGGGTGAAATGTTAGTTTTGGCCTTGAATGAGAAGCACTGGGAAGAATTAGGGAAGGCGTTTTCTCGGTTCAAGTTGGCCAGTAAGGTGGTGTCTCAGGCTGACGTGAGCTGTAGAGCATCCCATAGATTTCTAGGAAGACCACAGTTGTCTCAGGCTGACATGAGCTGTTAGCAGCCCATAGATTTCTAGGGAGACCGCAGTTAACAGGCCTGTCTGAAGGACTGCTCTAGTAGGAGACACATCAGCCCAGTGTGGAGGGAGGGGAGGCCGCCATAGCAGTAGACGACCCATGGTATCAGCAGGCAAAGCCCCCAAAGTGCGAAGGCCAGGGCAAAATTAAATCTAGTCCGTGGATGTAGAACAATAGGCATTTCATCTTCTCAAGGGAGAGGTCAACATGTGTTGATATGACTCCTCGGATGCCTTGGGTCACAAAACAGTTGCTTTGCCCAACGTTCTTGTTTGTCTGGAACCCACCCAACGTAATAAAAATGTTTACTAAATGGATATGAGAGGGCAGGACTCCCCCCTTTTGAAGTTAGCAGATGATGATCTCGGAAATGCCTTCTCGGTGCAGTCCAGATAGGAGAGTGGGACTTGAGAAGGTAAAGTCTTCTTCAGATGGACCCTGTGAGTCTTCTGGGCTACCAAGGGTCTCCAGAAGGGTCTTGGTTAGCTCAAAAAGAAAAGCATAGCCCGTGTAGACTTCAGAGTGCCTCTTGGTGGGCCTCTCGTTCAGTTTAGCAGAAAGAAACTTGGCTCTTAGGGTAACCTTCGGGTAACTTTCTTTGATTCTACCTTCCTCAGAAAGGTAGAAAGAGCATTTGGGCAGGCAAAGGGGTTAACTTCCTGCGTTCCTCTTTCTGGCCCATTTTATCCTTTTTTTTTTTTTGGCAAAAAGGGAAAGCAGGAGGAAGAAGTGAAACTGTTTTGATTTTTAGTGTCTGCGTTGGGTCAGTTCTCTTTGAACTTCTCAGCAGATTTAGCACTGCTCTCAGTTACATATTGATCTCCGCACAATTTCTCCCAGAAGACGGGTGTATCCGCATTATTCTTCCATGCTTTAATTATGCTGCCCTGGGTTTAGGTTTCCTTCAAGAACGATCATTTCCCTAGTCCCAAATCCCCAACACTTCTATATAGATTTTACGGCTGGTCTGACCTCCCTAACACTGCCCTTTCCCCAGCCCAGTTATTTCTTTCAGATTCTTGCTTAAAGTAATTTGTCTTTTTATCTGTCCTTTTACCTTTTTTTCTTTTTTCTTTTTCCCTTTTCTGGTTTTGTAAGAACTTGGAAGATATTCCATTCTTACCCAGTGGAACTGATCTGCTTGGAAAGTGTCATAAATAGGATATTTTTTTCAAGATGTAGATACAGTCCATATCACAGCCGGTGAATTTATAGGCCCCCTTTCAGAAGCCAGAATTGCCTGCACCGGTTTCCAATAAGTTTGCAAAGCCTCTGCATTAAAAAAAAGAAAAATAGAATGTATTCTCAAAGAGATGCAAAGGATTTCACCTAAGGAAAAGGCTACGTAGAAGTAGAAGCCAAGAGATTCTGGTTTTAAAGTGTTGGGGTAATGAAATAGGTAGAGGACAGTTCCTGACTTGATCTGGTCAGCTTAGAAGTAAAGCTGGGCCAGATCTGGTTAGCACTTGGATGGGAGACTGCCAGAAAATTCCAGGTTTGTTGGCCCAACTGGTCGGTTGGAAAAACATCTGGAAGAAGTTGGTGGCCAGCCACTTCTGCATTGTGTCCAGGGAAACCATGTGGACATTGGACCCAGAGTTAGCAAGACTTGACCTCGATTTGAAGGCGCTGTGGCCTTTCAATGAGCTGGGGGTCAGGTTTGCTACCAGCTCGGCCTAGCTTTTCCCTTGCAGATTTTTTTCCGAGCCCAGGTTGAGTTGGCCGTACTTCTGTCCTCCTTCCTCGCAAAGTTGACCCAACGTTTGCGAGACGAAGGCTGAAGTGTTGGCTGGGGAGAGGGAAGGAAAGAGGCTCCAACTGTTTGGGCCTCTTGTCATTACAGTTGGAAGGAGGTAATATATCAGTTTTGGAGCGTGTACAGAATGCAACTCCCCAGATAACAGGTTTAAAGTCAAGATTTAATACAGTCTCTCTACTATGATGTTGCAGTGACAGTTTAAAACTCGTTCTTTAAATCTCAGCAGACTTTATAGCCAGCAGAGGGCCAATATAGAGTTTAATGGCATTACAACACATAAATCATCTTTTAAAGATGCTAGCAGTAGCTCCAAAATTAAATGCAGGCGATCTCCTCCGTGATAAATAATTTATCAAACACCATTTCGGATGAGCTCTCCATGCTGAGTTATTTATTTTAGCCTTTACTGTTCAATTCCTCCGACGCGTTTTGAGAGATCCATTACTGGTCAGTTTAATGAACTTGGGGGTCTGCCGCGGCCTCCTCCAGCAGTTTGGCACAGCTGTGGTGACCATTACGCGGCTGGCCCGGACCTCTTTGCGCCTTTTACAAGTGCTGCCCATTTGTCTTGCGGTGGTAAATGGAGGAGCACATCGGAGCCCTGGGACACATTACGCGATGGAGCTGCGGAGCGCGAGCCGCGTGCCCCAGAAAGAGATGCTTGTCGCAGCTGACTTGCGGTCCGGTACTTCACTCTTACTGTAATCTCATTTACGGTGCAGCTCTGGGCTGGGGAGAATATTCCCAGTTAGCGTCGACCCTCCAGCCATAAAGGAGGACCTGCTCCTTTTATATACCCCAAACTTTTAGGGGACTTTTTCCAATTAATGATTATAGGCTGCCTCCCTGGCAGCCCCATCGTTAAATGTGTATTTTTAAGTTTTATAGACAGGCTGTCAGCATTTTCCTGATGAATCCGCTTCTTGCCGAACTTAAGGCCCTTGGTTGGTGGCCTCGAAGGCTTATCCACCGGACCTATTTTTCCTCCACAGGGTTGGGAGGAACATCTGAGTCATTCCAGATTTAGGGGACGTTCCTGTCCCAGGCAGCTGCTGTATGAATCTGCAGGAAGGATTTAAGAAAGCAGATGGTTGAAATGCTGCACGGGCCTATGGTGGGTAGCTGGCGTTTGGGGGCTGTCTGGATCCCATTAGGACTTGGCTTAGCACCATGTTTTTCAAACTTGGCCCCTTTAAGATGTGTGGACTTCCACTCCCAGAATTCCCCAGCCAGCATGCTG